ATAGGAATTATAACGGTGTAATACTAAATTACATTCCAACGTATACCTAGACCATTTTAATTACCTTGCATTATTTCTTCGACAAAATAAGTGGTCCTACTTAATATTCATATAATTAAGAACTTAACAATTGCGAAAGAAGTTAACGATACCTAATCTGCAATGGTAGTGGTTTTTTTTAAATGTTATAAAAGTTTTACCGCGTTGACCTACTTTTGATTTTTTTTTTCTAAACTAATTTAATACGAAACTGAAGATAACAATAGATGAACGGTGTATGTAATAATAAACATTGAACTTTAAAATGTCATACATTTTGTTATAACATTGTCATCAAAAACCAAATATAATATAATATTGAGTATACCTATGTCATTCTATGTAGTTTTATCGCCGCATTGGTGTTTTTTCTTGTACATTGACTGCCGTATCCTACCTAAACTATAATGAAAAATACACAAAAATATATTTAACAACAACGCTTCTCCAGGTACTGGGTTGAATGGGAATCGCCGATTCACACCATTCTCGTATTAATCGGATTTGTGGTGGCTTGCCAATTTTTCGAGCCGTATATGGCACCAATCGCTTTATTACTGGTCTTCCTCAAATACTACATAGTATATTCGTGGGGTACGTCTAAATTAGTTGATGACGATGACGAACAACAAACCGATGAAGATGACCAACAAGACGAACAACAGGACGACCAAGATGACGAAAAAGCAAAGGTAACGTGTAAATCTTTTAATATACTGCAGAGAAAACTATTGGACATGATAATACTAAAATCGAAAAAATGTACAGGAAGAAAAAAAATCTCTAAAAGAGCGAGTTGCTGCTGTGCAAGAAGTCACGCAACTAGTTCAAAACACAATCGGAGACATAGCTTCGTTTGGTGAAAAAATTAAAAAGTAATTATATTTTTAGCTTTTCAATCAACGAAATAACCTAAAATACATAATTTTTTTGTTCAGCCTTTTAAACTTTTCCGTGCCGTTCTTGTCGTACTTGGCCATTGTGTTGCTGATTGCAGTGACGACAGTATTGTATTATATTCCAATAAGATATCTGATTATGGGTTGGGGCATCAACAAATTTACCAGAAAAATACTTCGACCACATACAATTCCAAACAATGAACTTCTAGATTTGCTTTCTAGGGTACCCGACAACGAGGAGAAGGTAATAATAGTAATATTTTTATCAGCAGCTAGTAAAATGTTTTAACCATTTAAAAAAACAAACAACTATGGTAGGTTAACATTTTGACTTTCAAATGAAAATTCTTTAAATGTTTATAGTTAAGAAATAATAATAAACGACTAGTTTAACATGCAGATGCAACTACGCTAATAGCATACTAGGTAATAATTATAGCTTTAAAATATACAAAAGCTAATTTTTTTTTTTTTTAATGTAAAAATTCAGTTTTGCTTCAGAATATTTCAAAATTAAAATCTATAAAAACATAATTAT